TCTTCATTCTCCCTTGCTCCCGAAGGGGTGAGACCAGTGGAGTATCTTAGATGACTGCTCACAGGCTTTTAAGACCCCAGACACTAAGACACTACTCACTGAAGTAGAATGTAGAACATTTTCTTTATAAACTATGTTACGCCAGCTGAGCTAGATGTTCCCCGAGACCATGGTCCCCACAGCCCTCATGGGACTTCTTGTTCGAGCAAATGTAGTAATTTCTGATTTCCCGGTCTTCTGACCTGCTTCTTTTATATGTCTGGAGTTTATCGTACTTACCCTGTATTATTTCCAAACTCAATTTCTAATTTGACTTTCTGTATTGTATTTGAATTTTCCCAGTATTCTTTTTTCTTGTTTTGAAGTTTAGTTTCCAGCAGTCTTTAATAAGCACTTGGTAGAATGAGTTAGGAGAACTTAATAAATTTGAATATAAAATGAAGTGCCACAAAGCTAGTATTTTTTCTACACCCTCCCCTCAAAAACAGTTCAAGAAATATTTATGGAGCACTTGTTTGTAAGGCAAAACTTATCACTTGTTTGTGATAAGTAGGTGAGTGAGAGTTTTCCAGGAGCTTGGTCTGATGAAGCACCCTCATTCCCTCCTCTGCTTACACATAGGTGTGTGTACACATACATACCCCTGTAATTTTTTAACCTGATTCTAGTTTGAAAGCAGCATTAAGTTGAAGGCAGCATTTTATCTATCCTTAGGCTGAAAACGCTGTTTTCAATTTTATTACGGTTAATTTTTGTAGGATTGCACTAATATAAAATAACTATTATTAATTTCATCACTTACATTTGTATAGTTAAAGACATCAATTTTTGTTTTAAAAGTTAAATATTCATATACATTCAAGCATCTTAGTACTTATAGCCAAGTAAAATTGATTTCTTAGATTTTCAACTGCTGAATATTTATACTCAAAGAAGAAAAATCCTTATGTTTCTGACTGTAGCTTCTATCATCAGAAGAAAACTACCACAGCATTTCTTACAGCCAGTCAGATAGTCAGTGTGGTTCTCCTCCAAGGGGTTGGTCAGAAGAGTTGGATGAACGTGGGCACACCTTATATACCAGTGACTATACTAATGAAAAGGTACATCCTTTTTCTCTCATCTAGTATTTCTTGGCGGAATCGTTTTATGAAATAATTGTGTACTGAAGTTTTAGTAGTATTAAATAAACTCATAAAAATATTCATTGTAATTCTATAATTATGCCAGTTGGCCTGAAACTGAATATAACGGATTCATGGTTTTAAACTTCTTACAATGATAGTGATTTTTGTGGTGTTGATGCCCATTTAAGACAGACCTTCTAAGAGTAGACCTTCTGTTGATGACATTCTGTTTAGACTTCTTTAGTAAGCATATGGCTTTTGAGAATAGTTTTCTCAGTGTGCCATTTTTGTATAGCACCTCACTGGCTATACTTCTTTTTCTGTTATAACCAAATTTATGCAAAACAAAAACCATGAATCTAGTATTCTGTGGTTAATTAACTATTTTGGGGATGAATTTTGAAATTTTATGTGTGTATTATGTCTGGTATCATCTGCTGGAGAACTGGTTGGTTATGATAGTTTAGAGAGCAGACCCTCTTTCCTGCCTTAATTATTTGACACTAGAAAATAAGGAAACACAAGTTTTCATTTATTTGATAATTAAGATCGTATGTCTGCATTAGCAATCCTTAGTCTTTTTCCGCCTCATATTCCCTGTATTATATTACATGAAGTTCTGTTGTTGTACTGTTATTTAAATCTTATCAAGTAAAATGTGTTGGCTACAAGGAGGAATTCCTAAGGGCTTGTGTAAAGCTAAGCATAAATTATTTTGTAGTTTTATACTTAAAGATTGAAAAAGAGTCTCTTGTTAATTTCTCAACCCTGCTTTCAGAGTGGGGGAGCATGTACCTGTGGTCCAGTACATGTGTCCATCTGTGTATCTATATGTTATGTATTTCTTAATGGTACCTTGTTAAGTGGTGCATGCATCCCTAGTGTGACATCGGATGAAAGAGAGAGAAAATAAACTCACAGTTAATATTGAGTATACTGACTCTCACAAGCTTAGCATACAAGTCTTCTAGTATTAAGTGCATTATTTTTTTTCAGTGTTCCTGAGTAGCATTATTTTGAGCAAGTAGAATAAAATGTGTAAGCGTTATATCTATTATCTCTGGTTGTATCAGCTTAAAAACACTTCTATTTAAATTAAAAATAACACCTGTTCTGTTTTTATAGTGGCGCAAGCATGTTGATGATCAAGGTAGACAATATTACTACAGCGCAGATGGGTCTCGATCAGAATGGGAATTGCCGAAGGTAACCAGCCTTAATACAAAATTTCTATTTAACAATAGTATATGAAGTAATATCTGAAAATGGTTTTCAGCAGATTTATTTTTGAATTTTTATTTAGCTTTTAAAAAACAGCAAGACTGGTTTTTCAGAATTTATTGAGAATCCTGTGACGGGCCAGTTTTTTGTGCGTTACATATAATTCTGCTTAGTCCCTTTTAAAAATTCTTTTTAGTTTAACTTGAAATCAGTTTTTCAGTATTGTTGGAAGTAAGAATTTTCTTTAGTGCAAATAGTGCCATCTTTTGTCTAGTTATCTTGAATTTTGCACATGAAGTTGGTCTTAATATTTAATCTTTTTTATTTTTTTATGAGAAGGAATAGTAACTAAAATATTCAGGTTTGTCCTCTTAATGTAAATGTGTATTGTAACTGAGTCAGTCGTTGGCTAAGATAGACAGCTTGTGGTAATACGATCTAGGGCCTAGCTGGGTATCTCTTTTCAGACAAAGTACACCAGGGCTGTTTTTTGTATCTAAGGTAATAGGTTTCACAGTGGTCATATACGTGTCACCATTGATTAGTACTTGACACAGTTTGCACTTGGCTACTAATGGAAAGACTGGCGGTTTGAATACACTTAGCGTTGCTGCAGAAGAAAGGCCTAGCGGTCCACTTCCCTAAGATTGCAGCCATTGAAAACCTTATGAAGTGCAGTTCTACTCTGACACACATGGGGTCACCGTGGGTCAGAATCAATGGCAAAGGCTTTGGTTTTGTATCACTACTTGAGATAATTTTAAGTGATATCTGAGCAAACATTTAAATTTTAATTGGTATATTATTTTACCATTTTTAAAAAACTGTGATTAGCAGGCAAATCTGTGGCATCAATTGGTACATGTATTTTTGTTTTTAAAGAAAATTGTCTAAGGATAAAAGTAAGTCAATTTAAAGAAAAACATTAATAGTATAAATGATCCATGGGTACAGAAAAAATAACTAGGTGTTACTGAAATGGCTGAAGGTTGGAAATACTAATCTAGTAAACTAGTGCTAGTAATGGTTTCTTCCTTATGTGAGTGATATCTGGCCTTAAAGTATTTGATGAAATTATACAACTTGATATTAGTAGGATGAGATTGTACATATCAAGACATCACTCTTTAAAATTATGAAACATAAGTCAGTGAACATTTTTGAGTTTTTTTCATTTTCATCATTGTTAATTTGTACTTTGGATCCAGATTTTCAAGATAAAACTATATTTACACATTAAACTTTGAAGTTGTACCAAGCACTCACAACACTTTTAATACTGAATATGAAATAACTTAACATTTTATTTTCCAAATTTAATTGTCTCTTAGTAAAACTTTTAACTGGCAAAATAACATTCCAAGCTTAATATGGCGGTTACCAACTTTTAGGGGAAAAGAGGTTTACATAATAAGAGTAACAGTATTTTTGTGTTATTAGTGTACGGGGAAGAAGTCATAGACTACATCAGATACTGCTTTTCAAAACCAGTACCATCTGTAAAATCACTAAGTGATTAAGTTAGGAAAATCTTATGGTTAGTGATGGCCAAAATATGTAATACCATATGTGCATGAGTTGGGATAGGACTATTTTGGGGACATAATTATTCAATTAAAACTGTATAACAAAGTGATGATTTCTTTTGGGCTTATAATAAAGTATCGAATCTGTTTTGACTTAGAAGAAGAAACCAGAAGAAAAATCTGCTAAAATTTGAGTTCACTGAAATGATTTAGGTTACAGAATACTAATATTTCATTAATATAATATTAATTAATTTAAACATGAATACTAAATTTTTTGTGTCGCTTGAAAATTTTGGATTTTCACTCTTACCAGTACGTCAAATATCGGTTGAGTTATAGAGGAATTGTATATTGAATTGCATCTTCTTTCACCCTGCTTTCTGATTTGTTGGGGTAATGAGATCAGTCACAAGACTTCTTTTGAGTGATTGGTCTGAGGTCCAGGTCTAGTGAAGGGAGATGCTCCCAGGAGCAATTTGGAATGTTAACCAGTGGCTGAATATTCCTGTTGAGTTTCTTATTAACTCTTGTACATTCCTAGGTCAGAAGAATCGTAGGTCCAATATTAGGAGACCTGCTTACTTCTGTAAATGGCTTGGGTGAAAGAAAGAAGAGAGACAAGGGACTGAGTTATATGAACACCTCAAAGGGTAGCTCTGCAGCAGTAGAAATGGGTGCTCATCATGACCAGTGTTGAGTCCTCAGTTCTCTGATAGCATTTTATTTCTTGCTGCTGTTGGCCACTTAAGATAAGGTATCAGAAGATCTTTGACACTTTCTTGATCTTCCAGTAAAATTGGATGTGAAGAGGTCTTAGTTGGGTCTAGTGGGAATGAGAAAATAAGGAATGAAATAATAAGGAGAATGTTCTTGAACCACCCACCATTTAATGTACTGTTAAGTATATGATGAAGAGAAATTACAGGTTAAATTTTGTACCCTAATCAAGTTAACAGTTACAGTAAGTTTGAAATAAGTTCTTTTGGATAGGTTTGTATCTTCCAGTGCAGATGTCTTCAGGAAAATATTAGCAAACAGAATCCTGAAATATATAAAAAGAATCATTCACTATATACTAAGTGCAGTTTATTCTAGAAATGTAGGGCTGATCCATTATTCAAAACCCAGTCTTTGTAATCCACTATACTAACAGTGTAAAGAAGAAAAATCACGCAACCTCAATTAATACAGTAAAAGCATTTGACAAAATTCGACACCCATTAATGATAAAAACTCAACAACAAACCAGGAATAAAAGGGAATTTCCTTAAACTAAAAAAAGAAACCTACAAAAAGAAAAGAAACAAAAAACATAGATAATATCATAGTTACTGGTGAAAGATTGAATACTTTTCCCCTCACAATTGGGAATAATGGAGGGATGTCTGTTCTCTACTTAGTACTGAAAGTCCTTGCCAGTGCCATAATAAGAGAAAAAAAGGAAAGAAAAGGCATACAAATTAGAAAGTAATAAATAAAGCTATTCCTACTGATGCAGTGGTTAAGCACTCAGCTGCTAAACGGCAGTTCAAACCTACCATCTGCTCTGCAGGAGATAGGTGTGACAGTCTTCTTCTGTAAAGGTATACAGCCCCGGAAATCTTCTGGGGCAGTTCAGCTCTGTCCTACAGGGTCATTGTGAGTCAAAATTGACTTGATGGCAGTGGGTTTGGTTTTCTTTGCAGATCACATGATTTTCTGTAGAAAATACCAAGTAATCTACAAAAACAAAAAACCATCCTAGACCCAATAAGTGAATTTAACTGAATTGTAGGATACAAGATCAACACACAAAAATTGTGTTTTTTATATACTACCAGTGACAAATTGGAAGCTGAAATTAAAAAACTCAGTACCATTTACAGTAACTACCCGACCCTCCCAAAAGAAATAACCCAAAACCCGCTACCGTCGAGTTGATTCCGACTCATAGCAACCCTGTAAGACAGAGTAGAACTGCCTATAGGGTTTCCAAGGCTGTACATCTTTACAGAAGCAGACTGCCACATCTTTCTCCCACACAGCAGCTGTGTAGGTTCAAACCACTGACCTTTCAGTTAGCAGCCAAGCACTTTCAACCACTGTTTCACCAGGGCTCCTCCAAATGCAATACTTAGATATAAATCTACAGAAATATATTTAGGATCTGTATGCTAAAAACTACAAAATACTCATTTTAGAGATCAGAGAAGACCTAAAGTGTATTTTGAAGAGGTAACATGGTAAAAATGTCACTATTTCCCAAATTGATCTATAGATTTAACACAATTCCTATCCAAGTTCCAGTAGGAATTTTTTTAGATATGGACAATATGATTCAGAAATTTATATGGAAAGACAAAGTAACTAGAATAGTTCAAACAAATTTGAAGAAGATGAATAAAGTTGGAGGAGTCGTACTACCTGATGTTAAGACTAACTATGAAGCTATAGTTATACTGGCAGAAGAATAGACAATATAGGTAAATAGAACAGAGCAAAGAATGCAAAATTAGACCCACACAAGTCTTCCCAATTGGTTTTTAACAGAAGTTCATAATCATTTCAGTGAAGAAAGGATACTTTTTTCAGGAAATGGTTTTGGAACAGTTGGACATTCGTGAGCCCAAAAGTGAACCTTGATCTAAACCTCGCACCTTATTCAAAATGAAATAAAAATAGATTATAGATCTAAACGTAGAAACAAAACCTACAAATCTTTCAAAAAGAAAACATAGGAAAAATCCTCATGGTATAGGGATAGGCTTCTTAGACATGACATTGAAAGTACTGTCCATAAAAGGAAAATTGATAAATTGTATTTCTTGTTTTTCTCGTTTCATTCAAATAATAAACATTTGCTGTGTCAAAGACATTGTCAAGGAAACAAAAAGAGAAGCTCCAGACTAGAAGAAAATATTTACAAGTCATATATCCAGAAAAGGACTTGGATCCAGAATATATAAAGCACTCTCAGAATTCAACAAAGAACAAACAAGAGTTAAAAAATGGGCCACGCACTTGAACTGAAACTTCCCTAAAGATGTAAGACTGGCAAGTAAGCATATGAAAAGATGTTCCATATCATTAGCCATTGAGGAAGCATAAATCAAAGCCCATAATGAGATACTATTAGAATGACTAAAATAGTAACAAATTTAAAACCTTTAAAAAAATAGTGACAATACCAAATGCACAGAAACTGGATCTCTCGTACATTGGTGGTGGGAATATAAAATAACACAGCCACTCTTTAAAACAGTGTGGCAGTTTTTTTGAAGCCAAACACACACTACCCATATGACTCAGCAACTTCACTTCTGGATGTTTGTCTGAGAGAAATGAATATTTACCTTTGCACAAAAACCTTATGCAAAAGTTTCTAACAGCTTTATTTGGATTAGTCAGAAAATGAGAATAACCCAAATGCTCATCAAGGATTGAATGCATAAACACTGATTGAATGGTACATGAACACGGTGGAGTACTGTTGTGAACCGACGCATAGCGACCCTATGTACAGCAGAACGAACCGCTGCCTAGTCCTGCGCCATCCTCACAACCGTTGCTATGCTTGAGTCTGTTGTTGCAGCCACTGTGTCAGTCCATCTCATCGAGGGTCTTTTTTTTCTGACCCTCTAGTTTACCAAGCATGATGTCCTGCTCCGGAATTGGTCCCTCTAATAACATGTCCAAAGTACGTGAGATGAAGTTTTGCCATTCTCGCTTCTGAGGAGCATTCTGGCTGTACTTCTTCTAAGGCGGATTTGTTCGTTCTTTGGCAGTCCATGGTATATTCAATATTCTTTGCCGATACCATTATTCAGTCTTCCTTATTCATTGCCCAGCTTTTGCATGCATATGAGGCAGTTGAGAACACCATCGCTTGGGTCAAGTGCACCTTAGTCCTTAAAGTGACATCTTTGCTTTTTAGCACTTGAAAGAGGTTTTTTGCAGCAGATTTTCCCAGTCCAGTACGTCATTTGATTTCTTGACTACTGCTTCCATGGGTGTTGATTGTGGATCTAAGTAAAATGAAATCCTTGACAACTGCAGTCTTTTTTCTGTTTATCATGATGTTGCTTGTTGGTCCAGTCATGAGGATTTTTGTTATCTTTATGTTGAGGTGTAATGCATACTAAAGGCTGTAGTCCCTGGTCATCAGTAAGTGCTTCAGGTCCTCTTCGCTTTCAGCAAGCAAGGTTGTGTCATCTGCGTATCGCAGGTTGATAATGCATCTTCCTCCATTCCTGATGCCACCTTCTTCATATAGTCCAGCATCTCAGATTATTTGCCCAGCATACAGGTTGAATAAGTATGGTAAAAGGATACAACCCTGATGCACAGCTTTCCTGACTTTAAACCACTCAGTATCCCCTTGTTCTGTTCAAACGACTGCCTCTTGGTCTATGTACAAGTTTGGCATGAGCACAGTTAAGTGTCCTGGAATTCCGTTTTTTGCAGTGTTTTCCATAACTTGTTATGATCCACACAGTCAAATGCCTTTGCATAGTCAATAAAACACAGGTAAACCTCTTCCTGGTATTGTCTGCTTTCAGCCAAGAATACTGCTATACCATATTGCTGTTCTTCCTTCAGTACCATCAGTTCTTGATCACATGCTGCCTCCTGAAATGGTTGAATGTCCAGTTCTTTTTGGTACAGTGACTCTGTATTCCTTCCATCTTTTCCTGATACTTCTGTGTCATTTCAGTATTTTCGTATCGCAGCTCGAGGCTTCAAGTTTAGTTCTTTCAGCTTGAGAAATGCAGAGTGTGTTCTTCCCTTTTGGTTTTCTAACTTCAGGTCTTCGCACATTTGTTATAATACTTTACTTTGTTTTCTGAAGCCACTCTTTGAAATCTTCTCTTTAGCTCTTTTACTTCATCATTTCTTCCATTCGCTTTAGCTACTTTATGTTAAAGATCAAGTTTCAGAGTCTGACGTCCGTTATGGTCTTTTTTTTTCTTTCCTGTCTTTTTAATGGGCTTTTGCTTTCTCTGTGTATGATGTCCTTGATATCATTCCACAATTCATCTGATCTTTGGTCATTAGTGCTTAATTTGTCAAATCTATTCTTGAGATGGTCTCTAAATTCAGGTGGGATATACTCAAGGTCGTATTTTGGCTCTCGTTGGACTTGCTCTAGTTTTCTTCAGGTTCAACTTGAACTTACATATGAGCAGTTGATGGTCTGTTCCACAGTTGGCCCCTGGCCTTGTTCTGGCTGATTGTATTGAGGCAGTCTGACCTTGTTCTGACTTAACGATAGTAAGGCAGTTATTTGAACAGAACAAGGGGATACTGTGTTGTTTAAAGTCAGGAAAGGTGTGCGTCAGGGTTGTATCCTTTCACCATGCTTATTTAGTCTGTATGCTGAGCAAATAACCCAAGAAGCTGGACTGTATGAAGAAGAACTGGGCATCAGGATTGGAGGAAGACTCATTAACAGCCTGTGATATGCAGATGACACAGCCTTGCTTGCTGAAAGTGAAGAGGACTTGAAGCACTTACTGATAAAGATCAAAGACCACAGCCTTCAGTATAAATTGTACTTCCACAAAAAGGAAACAAAAATTCTCACAACTGGACCAGTAGGCAACATCATGATAAATGGAGAAAAGATTGAAGTTGTCAAAGATTTCATTTTACTTAGATCCACAGTCAACACCCATGGAAGCAGCAGTCAAGACGTTAAACAATGTATTGCATTAGGCAAATCTGCAAAAAACTGCTTTAAAGTGTTAAAAAGCAAAAATGTCACTTTGAGGACTAAGATTGACCTGACCCAATCCATGGTATTTTTAGTTGCCCCATATGCATGTGAAAGCTGGACAATGAGTAAGAAGACTGAAGAAGAATTGACACCTTTGAATTATGGTGCTGGCGAGGAATATTGAATATACTGTGGACTGCTGGAAGAAGGAACAAATCTGTCTCGGAAGAAGTACAGCTAGAATGCTTGTTAGGAGCAAAAATGGTGAGACTTTGTCTCACATACTTTGGTCATGTTATCAGGAGGGACCAGTCCCTGGAGAAGGACACCATGCTTAGTAAAGTAGAGGGTCAGTGAAAAAGAGGAAGACCATCAAGGAGATGGATTGACACAGTGGATGCAACAGTGGGCTCAAGCATAACAACGATGGTGAGGATGGTGCAGGACCGGGCAGTGTTTCGTTTGGCTGTACGTAGGGCCTCCTACAGAGCAGCTGGTGAGTTTGAACCTCCAACCTTTTGGTTAGCAGCCGAGCACTTAACTACTGCGCTAACAATGCTGCTGTTAAAAGAAAACGTTCCCCAAATACAATTATATTGACATTATAATCAGGGTAGTTGAGATTCGCTGACTTTTCGGGGAGGGGTTAGATGTCACTTATCCTTTGGTTGCAAGGAGAAGAAATTATACCTGAAAAAGGTTAATTTTCTTTGTCATTATAATTTATTATTTACAATTTATTAAAATTGCCTGTATAGAACAACATAACTCTTAAGTCCTCACATTTCTGAAGTGTTTTTTCTTGATAATCTGTGTGGTTATTTCGAACACATATGATTTAATACCTTATTGACAATGCATTTTTAGTTTTATATATACTTTTCCCTGGCAGTGATTACCTGCCTTTTGTACATAACTGATATATTCAGGATTGGTCTTTAAACTGTACAATCTCTACCTTTACACTGGCTTGTATTTTACCACACTCAATGGCATGTTTGGCCTGTAACTGAAAGCAACGACAGAAACAAAATAACAACAAAACCCTTAAATACAAGAATACTGTGTATATGTAGGCATTGTTTTTAAACCTAAACCAAAAATTGAATTCATGTAGGTTTTGGAAGTGGAAGGAACCCTTACAAAATTAATTTATCTAGTGACCTCATTTTGTAAGTTATTATAAGCTTATTACTATCGAGTTGATTCCGACTCATAGCAACCCTGTAGGACAGAGTAGAACTGCCCCATAGGGTTTGCAAGGAGCAGCAGCTGGTGGATTTGAACTGCCAACTTTTTGGTTAGCAGCCAAACGCTTAACCACTGGGCTACCAGGGTTTCCCTAAGTTATTATAGCTAATATTTACGAGAGCCTTCTGTCAGTGCAATCGATGGCACTTTTTATACTTTACTTAATCCTTACAGCAACTCTGAGAGAGAGGATATTTCTGTTTTATTTTGAGGAAACTTAGACTTAAGGAGATTAAATACTTTGCCAAAGATAACACCAAGTTGCTACCTAACCCGGGAATGCGTGATCTTTTCATTTGTGCTAAAATGCTGGTCAGAGATGAGAAAACTGAGGCCAGAAAACTGACAGTAGTGTGATATGATTAACTTTGTGAAAGTCTTGTGTTAGCATGTGAAGTTCCACTTTTGTTTTTGTTATTTATGATGTGTATTTTGTTTTCTTTAGTATAATGCTTCATCGCAGCAGCAGAGGGAAATAATAAAAAGTAGGAGCCTGGACAGGCGGCTACAAGAACCGATAGTGTTAACAAAGTGGAGACACAGCACAATTGTGTTAGACGCCAATGACAAGGTAGGACTGTTAGGAAATCTGTGGAGAATTTTGGCAAGGTCTTTGTGCATTATATTGTATAGTGAATTGTAGCCATTTGTACTAATACGTCCCATTTCATGTGGCGTTTCTGTTGTTAAATATGGTTAGTTCTTTAAAATATTTTATTTCTTTTGAACCAACTGAAGTTTTGATTTGCGTGTATGCTAAAATGTAACTGAATCATGTATTTTCCCCTTAGCAGAATCTCATACCTTGGTGATTACTCTTTTATTGTATTTAGCATCAGTTTGTCATGGAGTGGGTTTTGCAGTTTTTTGCCTTTTTCTTTTTTCCACACAATGGACTGGGTTATCTGTGACTTAATGATGTACACATTGATACATCTGAGCCTAGGAGGTGACAGTTTTTTTGCTTACAATATTTAAAAGTCATCTTTCTGTTTGTCTTCAATCCCTAGGAGGTTTTGTAGTTAAGACATTTAATTATTCTTCCTCATCCCAGAGAAGATAGCAATCTTTTTACTTCGTCTTTCCCCAAATACACTTTCAACCACTTAGAAAAATAATCAAAGAAAGACAAATGGCTGTCTGCATGAAGTGCTTTTATCAATCTGAGAAGTAATGTTCTTTGTTTTCAAATAAGGAATAAATTTTGATGCAAATATCAGAATGGAAAGGCCATAAACCCTTAACCTTCTTATGAGTTACATCTTTACATTGTCGCTTCATTTTGAGGATGGATGGGAAATTAGTGTGAATTTGCAGAATGGCTCCATATCAGACTTGCTAATGTTACAAGTGAATGTGGTATTACCCCAAAATGAAGTAAGTTGTTTCAAAAAGATATTTGTCATTCAAGACCCTTTTTTACTATCGGTCTTCTCTTTTAGCATAATTAACAGATTTCATGCATTTTTAGGTGTTTTAGTGAAAACGGAATGAACTCCTCCAAGTCATATTTCTCTAAGTTTGAATACTTTCATTCTTAAATCCCTTTATACATTATGTCAACTCACTAGTCAAAACAAGTGTAGTTTTTAGGTACTGCAAGTGACTACAAAGTTAGTCTTGTTAAATTAAAAGGTGGACTTTGGTGGAGCTGTATAAATAATCTACATACAATTTATGTTTATAACATGGACTAATAGTACAGTAATGAAAGTAGTATACTGATTCTAGTTTCTGTTTCATAAGGATGTTATGCAGTTGAATATAAAGGGCATATACAAAGAGTGTGCGAGTGCTTGAAAATGTGTTAGCATTGCGATTAATCTGGGTAGGTACAGTTCCTAGAGATTTTTAGTAGAAAAATTCCCTTAACATCAAGAACCAGATTACACTTCGGTGTATATAGAAAGCTCCTAAATACCGTATGTAGTGTGCTAGGGCAGAAGCCATTGTCGAAGAAACTCCACTGCTCGTAGTATTAGAAAGAATGAGGATGGTAAGTTTGGTGATGAGGATTTAAAATTTCTTATTCCTTTTTAATCTCTCTTGAGACTCATTTTCAATCTATTGCTTAGAATAACTAGCATGAAATTTGTATTACTTCTTTTTTGTGGTGTAATTATCCCAGTTGTGAGAACCTGATTTTCTTGAGACTGGAGATTTACTTATTTTGGTAGGAATGTCCCCCCCCCCCCCATTTTACTCTTTGTAAATGGATTCATAGGTAGTTCCTTTACCAAGTAAACTTTTCTATTTATTATCATCACCTAGCATATACTTTCTTAAGAAAGGATATCTGCAGGCTTTGAGGTTATGAAATAGGGACTATGCTGGAACAAACTAGCAGAATAATATATGATAAAGGGCAAAGTGTGTATAACTTGAAACTAAATCAAAGACACTTAGTACTGTATAGCAGATGTTATGATGACATAGGTCCTAATACAGTTGCCAGATAACCTTAGAGGAGGTAGGCGTGTGTACGTCTGTGTGTGTGTATGTGAGGGTGTATCTGTCTGTATGTGCCTGTTTATGGTTTTTGTGAAAACTAATATAGAGATATTTAAGATATAGTCACAGATATTTTTAAATATATATAAATAAATATATAAATGGAAAATTATTTCTTGTGTCTAATTATTGTTATACATAAATTACTACTCCATTTGATGTGGTTTTTATTTCTACAGGACTGATGATGCTATGAAAAATAAATCGTAATTTTATTCAATTACTGTCTAGTTGTGAATCATCAAATCTTTCTTATTTTTCTCAGACTGTTTTAATATTAGTCGAACCCTCTTTTGGAATTCAAGAAATTGAAAAAGAAAGCATCTGAAACTGTCAGAAATGAGGCTAAATGGAGTCTTGAACCCTGGTAGTGCAGTGGATCAGTGCTCAGCTGCTAACCGAAAGGTCGGCAGTTGGAACCTACCAGCTTCTCCACGGGAGAAAGACCTGGCAATCTGCTCCTGTAAAATTTACAGCCTAGGAAACCCTATGGGGCAGTTCTACTCTGTCCTGTAGGGTCGCTATGAGTGAAAATTGACTTGACAGAAAACAACAAATAATGGAGATTTGGACATTAAGTTTAATTTCTTTTTCTAAAGATATTTTTATTTGATTTTAATATTTTCTTCATTAATAGTTTTAGCCTTGGATATTTGATTTGTAAGCTTGTCCCTTCAAGAGTTTTTTCTGTAAACTTTTATTGCTGCCTAGCTAGAGTTTCTGTTTTATAAGTGGGATGGAATATAAAACTGGAGACTATTTTTCAGATGAATGAATGTTGAGTTAAAGCTTTTTATGTTGTTACTTAAAGGAATTCCCGTGTTTGTGGACTGTACGTTCTATAGTTGCATAAGCATAGAAAACAATGATACAGATATGGACATGAATGTTCTAAGAAATTATTTGGTTTTTATTGGAAAATTAATAACAGATATTGGCATATGCTTTCTTTATCATCTTTTCCTGAAATGATTCAGAGCATTGAGGGGAATGGAGAGAATTTAAATGGTGCTAGGCTGTTGGTACCAGAACAATGTGTCTTCAGTCTTACCTTCCATGACACAGTCCGCTAAACGTTTATACTAGAAATCATACGCCATGTTTTAATATTAATGAAGAATTGCTCAAAAACACACATTATTCATTTGCTCTTATAATATTCTTATAGGATTAGACATAAAATTTCTTTTTTTAATGATTAATTCTTAAATCTGAGGTTTCTTCCCTTGCATATTTTATCTTGTTAATTTCTGGTCATTGGAAAGTTAGCTATAAATTATGTTTCGTATTAATAATAGTTTAATTTCTTCTATAGCTGTTAAGTAAAATTCTTCTGGCAGTTGGCCAAGTAATTTCTATGACTGTTCCTTACTTAATCCTGGGTGTCTGTATCCACCATACCAAGAGCAAGTTAGTATGATGACTGTTACATATTTATTTACCAAGTTGTTAGATTTTACCTATTTTAAGTATGGTTGATTCAAACTAATGTAACATGATTTTAAAGCAGTGTAATTTATTTTGAACTATTATGTAATTCTGTATGCAGTGTTTACAGTTAAATTTAAACTATACTGTTTAACTGTAAATGGTATAAAATATGCTATATTTCATAAACTTTTTATAACATCTGTATTTTTTGAGTTAGTACCGTATTAGTTTCTGAGCTCAATGTGAAAGGAAAATAATGAAGAAAAAATTTTTCTTCGCTTCCCCATATTAAGCCCTCTCACTGTGAATAGAGGGCGAAATATAATTAATAAAATAGAGTAACATTTTCATTACTTATTTTTTGTAGGAATCTCCAACTGCCTCAAAACTCTGCTTTCCTGAAAATGAGTCTTCTCCCTCTTCACCACAGCACCAAGATACAGTTAGTATAATAGAAGTGTGTAGTATAATAGAGTCCAGTTATTTCAGTTTTAGTAAATTTTCTCTAATGTAATGTTGAAATATTTCTTGGGCTTCTATTCAAGTTCATTGGTTTTGTTTTTGTTTTTTTTTTAAATCACAATTATAATAGGTTTAAATTGAGAATCAGATTTTATTTTTAAAAAGCCCTTGCCCTCTGCGGTCTCCTCTTTTTCACTTGCTAACTCCCACGTAGTCTTGCCTCTCTTACCCAGTTAAGACAAGAAGAGATTCTTTTCCCTCCACATGGTTGGTGATAAGGCTTAGTGATTAGAAAAAGGAAGCTACAAATGCAGAAGTGAAAACAGTTCCATAACCGGTGTTAGATATCTGATGGCACCTTAAAAATCTCTGCAAATTGTCCATCTACCTCTTCAGTATCTTCTGATCAAACCAGATTTAAAATTCCTTCCATTAATATAAATTATAAACATACTAATGTTTTCTTGCCAATTTGCAAATACATTATTGTTATTTTTCATAGTCTTTCAAATCCTTTTTGGAAATAGGCAGGGTATATATTTTTTTAAAAGTCAGTAGTATACTTCTTCACAATATGGCTACAGTATGGATTTAAATAGGTTTTTGTGGGCTGGTACAAAGAACCTAATCCGTTTGTCACAGTGCGCCTGTGAGAATATGCATTTTAACGTTCCCAATTGACACAGTGGCCAAAATGATGGACTCAGACATAGCAATGATCATGAGGACGGTACAGGACCGAGCAGTGTTCCCTTCTGTTCTACGTAAGGTCACTATGAGTTGGAGCCGCCGTGATGGCAGCTAACAATAACAACAATTACTGAATAGAGTTTTAGATTATATAATTTGGAAATTTGAGCTTTTAATCCTGTATTTCCAATTATGGTATTAAAATGCATTATCAGTTTTGGAGAAAAGTAGATTCTAACATTTATTTTACAAAGAAACAAATTGACTAATTTCTTTTCATTGACTATTACTATCCTAAAGCCCTTTTTATTATAAAAATATCTATAACAACATTGCCAATCCAGCATTTCTCAGGTGTACAGTTTAGTGATATCAGCAGCATTACCACGTTTTGCAACTATCGCCCATAATTGTTGCCAAATTTCCCATCACCATGAACAGAAACTCACTGCCTGAAGCCTTTTTAAAAAATCTGATTTGAGCATCTAATACTTTTATAACACTGGTTCTTTTTGTAGTTTTTTTTTTTTTTTTTTTGGTGGTAAAATTCACAGAACATAAAATCAGCCATTTTAAAGTGTACAATTCAGTGGCATTTAGTACCTTCACAGAGTGGTCCAGCCATCACCTTTAGCTAGTTCTGAGACATTTTCATCACCCCAAAAGGAAACCCCGTACCCATTAAGCAGTCACTCTCCACATCCGCCTCCAGCCCACCACAGCAACCACTCTCTGTGGATTTACCTATTCTGTACGTCTCATCACACTGGTTCTTTTTAACACTGTATCATTGCACAAGTTTACTTGTTCTGTATAAAAAGAATCTTAATTAGTATATGATTATATCATGATTAACTGAAGATAAGGATTTTGATCAGCTTTATTGATTTTGGTATATAATAGTCATTAGCCTAAATTGGAAAATGTCTGTTTTACTAAATGTGAGTATAAGCTTGATTAGTAGATATTCTGGATCTTGCAAAGTGATTATGAAACTGTGACGTTTTCCTCAGATTACTTAATAGAATTGAAATTTTATCGTTTTCTTGTTTTTTATTGTTTATTAGGATGGTGCTATTATAATCTTTGGTCAAAACTTAACTGTAGTTTTCTTTCTTACTTAGTAGCTAGTCCTTACTATTGCATACCTTTCTGCTTAATTTTTATATACAGTTTCCTTTGGAGTGTTAAAATATATTTAGAGAAATATATTTAGACAAAGAAATTTTCTATTTCTATGAGATTTAGTAAGATATTTTTATGAAGCTATTTGAGTAAGCAACACAAAAAAATTGGCTAATTTTGAATCATACTAAGTAGAGAAAGTACACCAAATAGTATGAAATAATAACCAGTCTAAATCTTTTTCCAAAATCTCGCACCTGTATTACCAGTAGCCTTCAAGTCATGTTTGACTCATGGCGACCCCAAGTGTGTCAGAGTAGAACTGTGCTCCTTAGGGTTTTCAGTAGCTGATTTTGCAGAAATAGATCTCCAAGCCTTTCTTCTGTGGTACCTCTGGGTGGAACTTCTTGGCTAGCAGCCGTATGCGTTAACCATTTGCACCACCCAGGGGCTCCCTTGTCTGTATATTTAGATCTGTATTATCCATTGCCTTCTCAGCACTTTTATGTCAAAATAAAAAACTTGAGTGGCTAAAACATAGTTTTAGTTTTCTGCCCTCAACCTTCTCTTATATTTCTTTCTTGTGATAACAAAAACCCAAACCGAACCCATTGCCGTCAAGTCGATTCCGACTCATAGTGACCTTATAGGGCAGAGTAGAACTGCCCCGTAGGGTTTCCAAGGGAGTGCCTGGTGGATTCGAACTGCTGACCTTTTTATTAGCAGCCTTAGCACTTAACGACTACGCCGCCAGGTTTTCCTTTCTTGTGATAGTACTCTTAATTTGTTGGTTAATTCATTCAGCTAATATGTACGGAGCACCAGCTGCATGCTAGATGCAGCACCCAGCACCGGTCGTACGCTGGTGAACACAACAGATGTGGTCCCAACACAGGGCCTCCCGGAGTGGACAGCGAGTGAATAATTGATACGTAATTGCACTTTGCATGCCGTGCAACGAAGGGAACAAACTGGGGCAGTCATAGAGAATACCAGGAAAGGGAGGAGCATCTACTAGGGGGTTGGGGAAAGCTTTCTCTAAACAGTGACAGTATTGCCGAGATACCACCGTCTACCCAGGTGCTCAAGCTTTTGGGAGTTTTCTTCAAGTCTTTCCTCTTATTCTCCTATCCCGCCCCTTTCCATTCTGTGTTCTGAGTATGAACCGTGGCCCCTCTTCACTCTTCCGCTGACACGGACCTATTCAGGCTTTCACCATCTCTTATGTTAATTATTAGAGCAGTCTTCTGGTTGGTTCCCAGTCTTACCACCCTTTCTTTGTTTGTTCTTTTTTTTTTTTTCACTGCTGCTTAAACTTAAGCCCCTTCAAGATATAAAACAAACTCAAACCCCTCCTTAGTATGTTATACAAGATTCTCTTTCCTCCCTCTACCGCGAACCCATTTCTTGACATTTCTCCCCTTCACCGCTTATTTTAACTTAAAGGAGCTTGAAGTGTCTCAAATATGATACGTTCTGTCTGGTTTCTGTGCTTTTGTACTGCCTGTTTTTCGTCTCCTGTCCTCTCTCTCCTTTTTGCATCTAATTTATACTCCTTAGCTCAAGTGTCACCTTCTCCAGGAGGTCTTCTCTGATTCCCTTCTTTTTCTCCCAGATTGAGTTAGGTTCTGTCTCTCCCTGGTTGAGTTGGGTATGTATAGTTACATATACACACCTTTCTCATAGCACTTACCACATTGTGTGATAATTGTTTCCTGTATTTGTACTTTGCATGTGGCAAATTTTGTTCTTATTTTATGTTGAAGTTAGAGTACTTAATACTCAAAGCATTGGTACTTGGGGCTTGATCCCTGTGAGGGTTTGGTAAAGGTTCTGGACCCTTTCCTTGAATGATGCATATATATGCACAGTTTTGTACCAGTTTCAGGCCATTCATTGACTCAGTCTTTCTGTTATCTTGGACTGTCACTACTGCTATCCCATCTGTTTCTCTTCCTAATTCAACATCTGTATTTCCTGCCCCCTTTTCTTTACCCTGCACAATCCTAGCTTTGGCATTTTTAATGGGATTAATTCCCACCTCTCTGCCCTTCTAATTCCTGTGCTTCCTAGCTCAGATAACCAGTGCCCAGTCACTGAGATTAATGTTACTTAGTTCCCACATCATTGAAAGATGTTTCCCTCTGCTTCTGACAGGGATAGTAAATTGACAATGTTCTTCTTTAATATCCTTTGCATACTTATGAGTGTGTAATTGTTATAAAGGCACCAGAGAGCTCTTACGATAAGTATCACACTTGCATATATCTGAGATCTAACTTATGCTTTATGAATAAATTAGTTAAATTTTATACAGGTATTCCCCAAGTTCCCAATATACCAGAAATATGGATGAACACTAGAGTTTGTCAGCTTTGTCTATAACTGTGAGCTTTTATCAGACCAGGCAAAGCTTTCAATTGTTGTTTTTCTTGTTGTGAGGCGCTGTTGAGTCGGTTCTGACTCATAGCAACCCTACGTACAACAGAACTAAACACTGCCCATCCTGTGCCATCCTTAACAATCGTTGCTGTGCTTGAGCCCATCGTTCAAGCCACTGTGTCAGTTGATCTCGTTGAGGGTCTTCCTCTCTTTTGCTGACCCTCTGCTTTTTCAAACATTACCTTTTAGATATTACTGAAGAAATATTCAATTATGTTTCTCTCCCGTGTGAGAAAGATTTTTTCTAAAATGCTTTGAGAAAACTAGCTGAGGAATCAGTTAACTAGAGAAATTCTGAATTGGGGATTTGTGTGTGTGTGTGTGTGTGTGTGTGTGTGTGTTTCAGTTGAAGTGAATTTTACTGTATGCCATGCTCATACAGTGCGTAACAATGTTGAGGATTCCTTGTAGGCACCAACTCATTTTGATTAAATTCATTTGAATATTGGAAACTAAAAGCAGTGATAAAATGCTGCTTAGTTCAGTATGGAAGAATTTTAAGGTAGCATTTAGTACAGTGAGTTTCACCTTCGTAGGGTTTGCCGATAAAGCCTGTATGACTGTTTTTGACATCACCTGGCTAGCAAATCCAGTTTGTCCAGAGCCCAGCTCACCATTGATCATGTTTAATGAAGCACATACTGAGTTTTGGTGCCACAGTAAAGCCAGTTCTGTGTGTCATAGCAGTTATCTTTGAGTACTTTATTAAATACAGTTGCTGTGTTTGTTTTACCTAGCTATTTTCACGTTCTGACACAGTGGGTTAGTATATTAAATAGTTTTCAGACTCTGTCATTGTAAAATAACAGCAAAGTAAATACTGTAATTCCTTTTTTGTGATCTTTTCCATAGTATTGTGTCACTTTCTTTGGACAGGAACACAAATAATTCTCTAGTGCTGACTGGTAGCATTCATATGGGAATTAATGTGTTAGCAGAATACCTGACGGCTGCTATGACTTAAGGAGAAGAAGTATTATAAAATTACTGAAAATAACTTCACAGAAGCATCAGGAAATCATATTCTTAATGTACTCAGAACTAATTACATTACATACTGACTAATCTTTTCTTTTAAGCTAATTTTTTAGAGTACCAGATCATTTTGAGTCAGTCATGTATAAGAACCTGGACCTCATTGTCTATATGAATGATGTGTAAACGGTGCTATTCTGTTCCACAGGGTCAAGAGAAATATGGGTTATTAAATGTAACAAAAATTACTGAAAATGGGAAAAAAGTTCGGTAAGTACAATAACCATTACTGTTCTTGTGTTTCATCTGATTAAAATAATTATAAATTATTAATGTAATTATATTTAGTAGAAACATTAACGAGGTGTGGACATACAGCAGAGGCTGCGGAGCATCCCCTGCAGGCGGCCTCCGGGAAGCTGGGCCGCCTTGCCCTGTGCTCCCTCCTACCGGCAGGGCGTTGCAGCCATCTGCCGCACAGGCCGGCCTCCTCTGTGGCCACGGCCTCGACGCCAGCACGCCAGCCGCGCTGAGCCAGTGACCACCTGCCCGTTCTGGGTTCTCACCTCCTGTGCAGCGTGAGGCTCTGCAGCTCAAAATTGCTGTGGGGTGAGAAGGAAAGAAAGAAAGAGGCATCAGAGAGGGTGTTTAGAAGAAGTGCAGCGAGTTTAATGGCATCCCAAAGTGAGCCATACTGGGCCCGAAGCCTCTGCCTTGGTGGGGTGGGAAACACGGCCAGGTTCCCAGCGCCCTTGCGGAAGTCCTAAGCCTCCGTGACTCACCAGGCCCGTGAACGCAGAGCTTGCAGGGATGGGAGTGGAGCCTGGAGGCAGCTCCATGAGGGAAGCTGTGACCCAGCACAGGAGGAAGGCCGCACAGCCCAGCTGTATCAGCTTTGTCTCCTCCAAGCCTCCTTCTCCACAGAGGCATAATCCATAACTGGGCCTGTCACAGTGATGAGCACATCAGTAAATCTTAGCTGTTATCACTTCTAACATCATATTTTCCAAATAAAAAAAATCAGGCAAATGGATGGTCTGATAAAAAAAATCCTCCATGTTCACGTAATGCCGATTTTTGCGTAATGACCTAGTCTTTGGAACCTAACCATGTCGATAAGTGAGGAGTGGGTGTATTTGTCGGTTGTGTGCCGTCAAGTCCATACGGTCTCATAGCAACCTTGGGTTTCCTCGGTTGAAGTCTTTACGGAAGCAGATCTCCAGGTCTTTTCTCCCGCAGAGGCGCTGGGTGGGTTCAGACTGCTGACCTTTCAGTTAGCAGCTGAGTGCTTAATCTTTGCGCCACCGGGGCTCCTCCTGTTTGCACTACATAGCCCCAAGAGGAAGAAAGAGAAAAATACAGACTCAATTTTCCAAGTGAGTTCTACCAAGGACTAGTTTAAGGAACAGATAATTACAGTGTTTGTAAAGCTACTTCAGAGCACTGAAAAGAAGAACTTCCAGATACCAGAATCTGGTAAAAATAGTTCAATTAAAGCAAACCTAAAAAACCCTGATACTTGTAAATTTTAAAACTTAAGCAACAAACTTACTTTTGACTATGAAATCATAGCATCTCAGGGAAAATCTTAAATAAAAATTTAGCAAGCTGAATATAACTTAAAAAAATATATGACCAGGTGGAGTTTAAAGGATACAAAGAGGGTTCAGCATTAGGATATCTGTTGTTATAAATCACCCTATCATCAAAAGAGAATAATCTTATCATAAGTTTCATAGATGTTCAATAGGCTTTTGATGAAATTTAACATCCATCCTTAGTTTAAAATGCTTCATAATATGCGAATAGATGGACATTCCCTTAAAATGATAAAACATATATGACACACAAAAGCCTTCTAGTTGTGTTATTTTCTGGTTTTACTTTATTGTAGTCAGAGAATGTTATCTATATCATATTTCTACTCTTTGGACTTGCATCATTTAAAGTTTGTACAAAATCAATAGAAGCTGGTTCTGAAAATTAAAAACAAGTGGAAATATGCTAATTGAAATATCTTTCATAGTAGGGAGTCAGTTGTTGCTATCTAAAAAAATAGAATATTAAGAGTAAATATAAATTTACAAATAAAAGTACAGTTTTCTCAAAAGCCGTTAAGAGAGCCACACACAACAAAGGAAGAAAGAAACTAAAAGTCTAGCAGAATGTGACAGAACATGCATCAGATACGCCTGCCGCATCAGTGTCAGTAAATGTAGACGGACTCTACTCGTTCACTGAAAGAAAAAGGCTCAGACTGAAGCACAAAGCAAAACTTATCTAAATATTACATACAAAAGAAACACCTTAAAAAATGATGGCGTCGGGGAGAATGTGTCAGAGGTATAAGAAGTAAAGCAGGAATAGGGATCTGAATAGCAAAGTTCGGGGGGAAGCGTTAAGCATCACAAAGATGGGTACTTAAAAGTGATAGGACATAGTGGATAATGTACAGTAAAGAGCCAGTCATTAGGAATAGCCATTCACCAAATAAAGTAGTATTGACAACTGTAAACAAAAACTACAGGCAATAAAAGGAAAAGTAGAAATTTATCAGTAGTAAACTTCCTTTCACTATAGCTAGTGTGTAAATTAAAATAAATGAAGTTTTCTTAAAGATGCATTTTGATTCATAAGAAAAAAAGACTAATTAGAAAAGTCTAATTAGTTCTGTTATTAATCCATGAAGTTCAGGTAGCCATAGAAAGCAGTAAAATAATAAAGTAGGTCTAATTGATAGATTCTAAATTCTGCATTCTGAAAACAGAAAATAAACCTTTTTTTGAGTGCCTATAGTGCTCTCACAGAACTGGCTAAGTGTTTGTCTGGAAGGTGGTAGCCTTAATAAATTCCTGTAGTAGACAGATTTGACATTCGTTTTACTTCCCAGCAACTGAATCTCTTTTATAAGATAATTTTTCTATTTTCAAAAACACTGTTCCACATCTGCTATTTGAAAAGTACTTTGCTAGGCCTGAGGCAAGGAGCCCTAGTGGTGCAGTGGTTAAGCACTCAGCTGCTAACTGAGAGGTCGGTGTTTCAAACCTACCAGCCACTCCATGGGAGAAAAGACCTGGCGATCTGCTCCAATGAAGATTTCAGCCTAGGAAACCCTATGGGGCAGGTTTGCTCTGTCCTATAGGGTCGCTGTGGGTCGGAATTGATTCGATAGTACAACAACAGCAGGCCTGAAGTAGATATAAAAATAAATAAAACACTGCTTCTGCCTTTAAATAATTTACAACCCAGTCAGAGAGGAACATTTAAGCAGAAATCTCTAACACAGAGAAAAGGAAAATGCAGGAGGAAATTGAAGGGAATCTGAGTACACTCATCAGCTTCAGCGCTCTGTATAGGAACACTGAGAATGGCATGTTGGGTGTGAGTCTTGCCTGCGTATCTGGTGACAGGACCGTAGATAAATGGCAGATTTCTTTAAAAGTTCATATTACATAGATTACCTCTGGAATGTGGATTAAAGGAAAAGAAATGGAGGCATTTTCTTTACATGTTTCTATACTCAGAGTTTTTATTATTGTGTGTTGATTTTGCAATTTAGGAAGAACATAAAAAACCTCATCTTAATAATGGTAACATCAGTGGTCAATCAATATGTCATTTATTGTATGCTTAAATACCGTACCTAGTATCTGCTGCCTGCTTGGTGCAGCCCTGTTAAGAGGGGGGAGAAAACCAATGAATATGAAACGGTCTGTATCTATAGAATATTCAGTGAGGTAAGCATGTTGGTCTAATTTTTAATCATGAATAATAATGCTTGTCAAATATAGTGTTCACTTTGTGTTACTCTAAAATAATTGAGTGTCCTTGATCACTAATGTGCTGAATTAGTCTCATAACATATTTAGGTATATCGTTCTTAGCTGTTCTGATAGCTTATCTCTATATTATTCGTAGGTATTCTTATAGCTTATGTCTGCAATTCTGTTTGTTCAGGGACCTTCCTGGTTAGTTTGGGACCATGAAATGATACCTCCATTAGCCTTCTGTCCCCAACAAAACCAATTAGAATGTCAGTTAATGACTGTAAATTGTGTGTAACACTGATAACAATAGCTAATTAGGTTCTAAATTTTAAAATTTGGTTGGAGAACTGGTTAGAAGGGCTTTAATTGGTCGTCTTTATAATTACAGAAAGAACTGGTTGTCTTCTTGGGCAGTGTTGCAGGGTTCATCCTTACTTTTTACCAAACCTCAAGGAAGTAGCACAAGTTGGGTAAGTATTTCTTCTCTTGGGAGGCTTTATGTATTTAAAGTATTTGAATTTGATTGTACCTGAATTTCAGAAAGTAATTTCTAAAGTTCTTCTAACTGTAGAACTAGTGTGTAAATAAAAATAAATGAAGTTTTCTTAAGGATGCATTTTGACACATAAGAAGGTATAGGACTAATTAGAAAAGCCTAATATCAACAAATTCTGTTTTATCCACTGAATTGAAAATTGGAACTCAATACTTGGGCATTATAGAATAAATACACTTCTTGATTCATTGTCAGGATGTTAAAGCTTTCCTGTGTTTGTGACTCTGCTCTGTGAGATACTTAGTCAGAAAATTAACAATAATGTGGCAAGCCCCACCTTGAATTGTGATCTGACCCCTTGGATACTAGTCAGTGATTCGGGTGTCAGTGAAACTTCTTTTGTATTTTTACTATCTTTACTCCCCACTTATTTGTAATATCAATCCTAAAAATTATAATTTGGTGCATATTATACTAACTAATACTTTTTGATTACATAATTGTGTTGGTACTGCTTTAAGTGTAGAGGATTATGTATCTGATGATGAACAACTCTAGGATAGGCACTGTTCATCATTCCCCCCTTTTATAGACGAGAAAATGAGCTGTAAGATAATTGAGTATGTTGCTCAAGGTCTTAACAGTTGCTAAGTGTCAAATCTGGGTTTAGAACTTGGACATTTTGGCTCCAGAGTCCATGCTCTGCAAATTTCCGGAATTGTTCTGTAATCGAGTTTAAAGTGTTAATGGTGTAAAGAATATTTAAAATGAAATTAATCTAAATGTTTGGTCTGCTTTATATCCTATCTTAACCAATATTTTCTTAAAATTACTGAGTTTCTTTAAAATTAATAGGACCTAGAAAAAGTTTAATAGGAGTTAGGACCGTATATAGGTGAGAGAGAAATCCATTTATAACATTGAATCAAATGTTAGTCATCTGCATTTGTAGTGCAGCCGTGTAACATGGTTCTGAACCAGGTGTGCCAGAGTACATCCGTCCTCACATGGCACGCTGAAAATCCACGTGGGTTGAGTATGCGTGTGAGCATCCTAGAACGTTTCTTCCGTTTTGCTTCACTAATCCTTTGATTTGCTGTTCAGTCAGTAGAGTGGAAATGACCTCTGAAATGCTTTCCAAATTAGAAGAATTGAAAATTTGTTTGACTTATCTTAAATTGATAATTATGTCTTTCTCCTTTTTCCTCTGAGGTGTAAAGCATATGGTTCCTTTTTGTTTATGTTAATGCTTTTCTAGAGGACAGTGTAATTATTTCTTCCTTCCTACTTATGGTTCAAGTTTTATTTGAAATTGAGTGAAGAAAATGAATGAAAGAAAAGGAATGGAGAAGCAATTAGAGATTCATTAGTAATGAAAAACTACCTGTAGAAAGCTGGACAGTGGTCATTTACATGATAATTCCTGGTGTTTGAAGATTAAAGGCTGTGTGATATGTACAGACAAAGTAAGTTGGTAGAGTAGCATAGTAAGTAGGGTATCATTTAGGAAGACAGGTTTGTTTGTGATTTAAGGAACATTTTTAAAAAATTTAAAGTCATTCAGTGAATACCCTCACGTGCAATTGTTAGTACAGGATAGTTACACTTTAAGATTTTCACTCTTGAAGGCCTTACATACTTCAGAACTCATAATTACAACTAACCCTGACAAAGGATGTGAGCTGTTTGTTTATCCGCTAACGTGTGTTACCATGTGTCAGTAGTGGAGACATAGTTTCAGATTTACCCAGCCAACTTTGAAGCTGTAGACTTCTTAATGGTTTTTAAAATTTAGGGATTTACTATTTGCCTTTTTTGTACTTAAATGAAATTTTATTAATATGTTTATATTGTATCATTTCAGATTGACATAATTAAATAAAATAGAGTCACACCATGTTTTATAGTCTCTGAAAAGACTGAGCAGATGTAGGATGTGATACAATGCTTGATTATGCCTTCAATTCTTGATTTTTATTTTATGAACAATTTTAAAACCTCAGACCGGCTTCTTTCCCATTACCATATTAGCATATTAAGGAAATGAAAAACTAGCTTAAATGGCCTGAGTAAAAGCAAGTAGGATTATCTACTTAAAAGGTATGATAAGTCACAGTGTATCTTGGTATGTGTTATGACATAAATACCAAAATTTGGTGTCAGATGGAAGATATGCTCCATTATGTCAGTAATTACAGTTATTCAAAAAGGATCTGAAAGAATTCTAGCATTGTTTCTCTGCTCTGTCACCAGCTAGATCTGTTGTAAGTAAAATGTATTCTGTTTGTATAGTGGAATTACATCTTACCTGAAGATAACGTTCTAAGACTAGAAGACAAAAATCACCTATCGTGAAAATCACCCTTTGATATCTCTTAGAACATGCTGTGTTAGAAGCCCATCTCCAACGAGCAGCCTTTTTTCTCTGGTGTTGGAAGAGATTGCTTATCTTTTAGTTGAGATTGGGTGGTTTATGTTAAGGGGCCATATTATAGGAGAAGTATGTTTCTTTTAAACATTAGAGTCACATTTAGTTCATGAAAATACACTGAGATCCACTTGAAGAAATAGATTGAAATCACATATTCACTCAAGGCTTATCATGGAATGCTGAACAAAATCACTCGCATTATTTGATTTTTTTTTAAATCAGTCATGCTTTGTATTTATTTTTTGCTGAGCATGTATAGTTAAAATTGAGTAAGTGAAATGTGCACGTGCTGCATGCAACTCAATAAGATAAATTTTACATAGAAACTATAACCTATTGCCGTCAAGTCGGTTCTGAGTCAGTGACCCAACAGGACAGAGTAGAACTGCCCCATAGGGTTTCCAAGGAGTGGCTGGTGGATTCGAACTGTCGACCTTTTGATTAGCAGCTGAGCTCTTAACCACTGCACCACCAAGACTCCACATAGATGATATACCATCCAAAAATCTGGTGAGCCTTTCCTTCTCCTTTAGAATAGATACCTGCCAGATGCTGTCCACTGGATTGTTATATCAGTAATAGAAACTTATACTTGGCTTTCTTCTCAAGTTGCTTTCCTCTTGTTTGTTCAACAGACATATAAGCCTGCTATGTTGTGGGTACTGTGAGGGTTTATGGTTTATATAAGGTATATATTATAGGGTATATAGTTTGTAGAGGGTTCATATAAGGTAAATAACTTGGTCTCTGTCTTCAGAGTTTACATGGTAGTGGGGAAACCAACAAGTGAACATGCTCCCTCTTAAATAGCATTCATCATATTCCTTGAGTATTCTAAAAATCACCCACAAATATGTTATTATTCAAAAATTTGTACATGCTTTCTAATCTCTAAATACAGGAACTTTTGGAGGCCAGATAATCCTTTGGTGTGGGGGGGCTGTCCTGCACATTGTAGGATGTCTAGCAGAAGCCAGTAGAACCCCTGCCTCTCCAGTGTGACAACTAAAAATGTTTCCATGCACTGCCAGATGTCCCCCAGGAGACAGAATTGCCTTTGGTTCAGAACCACTTCCCTTCCTGTCCTAGAGGAAGGGAAGGCAGGCTAGATGCTAGGACCTTCTGAGAGAGGACTTGGAGAGGGAAACCAGAGGACATTTGCCCAGCAGGTCACCAGGAGGGAGACCAGGGATTTCTGAGAAGGAACTGAGCAAGATGGTGGAAGGCTGCACGGGACTCCTTTCTGTAGTCTTCTGTTGTGAATACAGGCTGAAACAGGTCTGTTCAGTGTAAACTGTATAAAGCATGCATCTTAAAATATAGGAGTTTATATAACAACAAAGAATATTTTAAGATAAATTCTAGGACTCTGCAAAAATATTTGGACGTTTAGCTTTGCCCATGTTGTGTGTCTGCTTGTAGAACTGTTTTTGTCCTGTCCGTTTCCATTATGTATTTCTCTTGTGTGTTGTTTTGCCATTGTGCCCTGTTATGACATCATCATTTTCTTCCCTTTTTCCATCAAGTCATTCTGCCAACAGGGCTCAGTCTTTGAGCTCTTGCTTTCTCCTTGGAAAAATTCTATCGGTCACCGGCTCGCTGTCGCATATGTAAAATCTGATCCTGTTTCAGCTGTCACTGTATGTGTTCTGGTTGCATGCCCCTCACCACAGTAATTGTGTTTTCTTTGTCATGACTACAGTGGGGGAGGGGGTGGTTTCAGTAGAGAAAAGTGGGAGTAGATTTTGAAAAAGAATAAATAGTAAACAAGAAATTTTGCTAACCAGACTGAATGCGTTTTTCTCGCATTTTGTGTCATGTCATTGCATTTATATCTGGTTGCTGTATCTTACTTGTATCTTAGCTTACAGTTAACCATCTACAGAATCAGGTAATGACAGCAAATTAATTTTTGTCATTTTGTTAAATATGTACCTTCACGTTTTACAACTTTTGAGATACCATTTCTGCTCAGGAAGTTATCAGTACCCATTATAGGCATATGGTTAATAAAATCGTAATCATGTATGTCTTTTGAATGACTGTGGGTACTTAAAAAGGTAAAGACTTTGTAGAATGCAGTTAGATTTTTTACTGTGGTTTTTATTATGAGTCCACTAATAAATTCCAATATGATAGCCTAAATTTTGTTTTGATTCTACTAATAAATTCCATATGATTCCTAAATTTTGTTATAATGAGTACTTTGTTTAAGCCCACACTGCCAGCTGAAAAGATGAAGTAAAAGGGAACAGAGATAACAAGTGAAGTCGAAACACTTACTACATGTGAAGAGTAGAGTTGCTGACATAACAGATAGTGAATAAGTTATCACAAGTCGATGGGTGAGACCCATTTCTAATGGTGAACATAGTTTGACATGAAATGAACACTTTTATACAAGAAATATTTTAGCAAATACAATTTCTAATAGCAACTCTTTATGACCTTAAGATTACAATCCAACAGCCCTAGGAGGTTTAAAACTTCCAAACCTTTCAATAACGTAGGAGCACTATGTGCTATTCTTAGTTAACAGACTTAAACAGAAATTTAAGTTAATGATAGTAAGATGCAGAGTAAGTGTAGATTTACCATAAATTTTCTGCTGTTTTCTAAATTTTTTCTTACCTAGTTAAGAAAATATAATAGCTAGTTAAGTGCTTTTTCATCTCAAACCACCCATGACAACTGTCTTCCCATTCTTTTCACAGTTCCTCATTAAATTGTTGAGGCTTCATGACATCAGACTTTCATTACAATTTCTAACAAAGGCTGAGTAAAAGAACTTGACCTTACAGTCTTCTGTTTTCACGAGTTATTGTTAGTTGCTGACATCAATACCATATTTTTACACAAATAACCTACCCGTTATACATTTTTGCCAACTGCGATGCCCCCTCATGCGTTATTTTCCTAGGCTCACTCTGCATGTTATATGTGTGGGCACATTATTTACGTGGGCATGTTATCTGTGAAAAAATACAGTAGTCTATAAGGAAATAACTTGAAAGCACAGAATGAGGTTTAGAAATTTTTGTTAGGTGAAAAAGTAACTTGGTATTTGCGAGATATTATTTATACATATATAAGAATATTGCCTATTGAACATGTCAGTTCACATAGGTATATGTAGTCTAGGATAAATTCCAAGAAATAGAATTGCTAACTCAAAGGATACACGTGTTTGTGAATTTGAAAAAATAGTATTGCCAGTCCGCATCCCCACCACACCGTAGGAAAGCGCCTATTACTTCATAACCTCACTAACGTAGTTTTTCCATCACTCTTAGGATTTTTTTTTTTTTTTTTGCCATTCTTAATGGGTGAAAAATTATTTCGGTGTGGGTGTTTTTGTTTGTCTTTTTGTATTATCATGGAAGGTCAGCCACTTTGTTTCGTTTTCTATAACCTGTATATTTGTATTCTTTAGACATGTTTTCAATTATAAAGTAGGAGTTGTTCTCTTACACAATAGAGAAGAATTTGAACTAATTTTCTGCTTGATTTATTGTTAATAATGTGAAATTGGTATTAATTCTTTTTAAATGCACACATATACATGAATATCACAGAGGTTTTTTCCTTTTTTCTAAAATGAAGTTTGGGGGTAATCAGTCCAAACCAGAGTTCACAGTGGACCTCAAGGGGGCAACGATTGAGATGGCTTCAAAGGATAAATCCAGCAAAAAGAATGTTTTTGAGGTAATAGTTTTGTTTCTAAGTATGACTCATATTCCTTAACTGTAATAATTGGATATTCTGTGTTTTTGAGTTATTTTGGAAGTTGTCTTTCATTGTGACTAGTTAAGACAAAGTTTATATTGTGATTTAAGGGAAAAAAACCCTGGTGTAAAAATCTGGGATTCATTTGCATAAATCCTTGGAACTCAGACTGTATATTATAAGCCTTTGTTCCACAAATTGTGCCTTTCCCCAGCAACAGCAAAAAGGGTGTGTTTCCTCTTTTCTGTCAAGTCTAATATTAACAAATACATTAACCCCCACCAAAAAAAATTAAAACCTTTTCATTTTGTCATTTAAAGCCCTCCACAGTAGTATATGATCCTCTATCAGTCAGCTATTCCTGCATAACAGATGACTCTAAAACTTAGCAGCTTAACACAACCACTATTATGTTTGCTCGGTTTTGTCTGTACTGAGCTGAGTGTGTCTTCTGCTGCTTTCACCTGGGATCATTCATGAAGATTGTTTTAGTGGCCTGACTGTGCTGCATGGTCTAAACCAGCCTCATTCGTGTCTGGTATTGATGCCAGCTGTTGGCAAGACCTCTTTCTCCACAAGGTAGCTCATTCAACGAGGCTACCCTAGACTTTTTCAAATGGCCGTGTCAGGGTTTCAAGAAGGTGAGAGTGAAAGCTGCAGGGCTTCTTGAGGCTTAGATTTGGAAGTCCTAGGTCACTTTCCTTTTTGTATTCTGCAAGTCAGAGATCCAGACTAGAGGTGTCTGCTGATGGAGGAACAGCAGAGTCTCAACAGCAGAGGGGTGTGCATACAGAGATGGGAGGAATCATTGCTGCAGTCTTTGCAAACAATCTTCCTGATCCTAATCTACCTTTCTGGCCTCATGTCTCAGTCCTTTCCTATCTTGTTGTCTAGGCAGATTGGATTAATAGCTATTTTCCAGATAGAACCCAGGTTTTCCTGCTTGTATGATTTTTACTCCTGTTTTATTGTTCTGCCTTGAGCCAGTTTCTGCTTGTCAGATGTTACTCATCTTCCAAGATCCATGTCAAATATTACCTCAACAATGATGCTTTTTCTTGGTTTATTCTTTTTAAATAACGTTTATTTTAGCCTGTTTTAAGTTATCATCATTTGTAAGCTGTCTCCCCAGTAGATGATTAAAATTAGAAAAAAAAATTTTTTTTTGAGCAGAGACTATTTTCCCTTGTCTTTGAGTAAAAGTCTCCATCAGAGTATCTTATGTGCAGTGAACATTCAGTATTGGTTTACTGGTTTGACCCACTAAATAGAAATGCATGAATGGTATTAACCTTGCGATTTGTTGTTGTTGTTGGGAATATGCACAGCAAAACATACACCAGTTCAGCCATTTCTACATGTACTATTTAGTGACATTGATTACATTCTTCGAGTTGTACAACCACTCTCACTCTCCTTTTCTGAGTTGCTCCTACCCACTAAATGTAAATTCACTGCTCCCTAAGTTTCCTATCTAATTTTTCAAGCTGTTGTCAGTTTGATCCCATAAAGATAGTTCTTAAAAGAGCATAATGCCCAGTGTAGACATTTTTTACTAGTTAAGCTAAATGATTGTTTGTTTTAAGACAATTACAGGGGATATTTTTGGATTAAGCCTTAACCATTATCTCAGGGCAGTAGTTTTAAGGGTTCATCCAGCCCCCTTGACTCCAGGAAGTTTGGAGTCCATGAGAATTTGAAGTTCTGTTCTGCATGTTCCCCTCTTTGATCAGGATTCTTCTATAGACTCTTTCATCAAAATGTTCAGTAATGGTAGCTGGGCACCATCCAGTTCTTCTGGTCTCATGGCAAAAGAGACAACTAGTAGTTCATGGAGACAGTTAGCCACACATTCCAATATCCTCATTATGCTCCTCACTCTCCTTCTTCCTCTGTTGCTGCACGCAAATAGAGACCACTTGTTGTGCCTTGGATGGCCGCTTGCACGCTTTTAAGACTCCAGGCTCTTGCCTTGCAATTCAAATAGGTATTTGCAGAATGAAAAGGGTTCCACCGTCAAGTAAATTTTGGGAGTAGTGTATATTTTATTCCTGTCTTAGAAGATCACAGTTCCCTCTAGAACATCAAAGCCCTGAGAAGTTTTGAAGGAGAGAAACTGACAGACATGGGATGGTAGTCTAGTATAACTTTCTTCAATCCAGTTTTTCCCAACTTAATGTCACATAACTGTTTCTGCTTTTATTTATTTTTTGAGGAATACCTTTTTAAACATTTAGAGAACTGTGTTTGAGGAGTATGTATGTCTCTTAGAATGTCATTTGAGAAACATTGCCATATGCTCCTCTAGGAAAAAAAGAAATCAAATAGTTATAAACCAGAAAATGGGAGGAATGCTTTCTACTACTGCCTCAAAATTCTTCTTCAATCAAATGTAAGAAACTTTGAACCAGAGATTATACATAAGTTATTATTGCTTTCATGTAGAACAGTACGTAGTATTTTTACTTCATGATTTGACACTTAATTTAGAAATATTGCTACCCAAAAGGTGTGTGATACATATTGTACTTTTTTTGTACTAAGCCATTATACTTGCCTATTAAATAGGAAATAGTGAAGGCATAACCCTCAGTATATTCTTTTTCTATATTTATTTTTAACCAAAGAGAAAGAAAAAAAACTTGTCACGTCTTTGTAAAAATATCATACATTTTATTTCTTCACAAATGAATTATGTTTCAAGTCTAACTTAAAATGCATGATTTTTGATACACGAACTTATTTTTAAATGAACAGATTTCAGCAGGTTTTATGGCATTTGTGTGATGGAGTTTGGAATTATTAGATTTTCATCAAGCATTTTTTGTAAGACACAACTTTATGGTTTATAAAATAATTCAGCTTGTATTTTATGCTAAAATAAAAGATATTCTATAGTGTGTATGTACTAAACTTTTCATTCTGTTAATATATGGCATCTGGTCTTCTACTGGTAGTTCTGTAAACTTTGAGTTAAATGTATTCATTTATTTTGTTGAAAGAACTAACTGTACTCTTTTTTTCCTCTCCTTTTCTCTAAAGCTGAAAACCCGTCAAGGAACAGAACTGCTAATTCAGTCTGATAGTGATACCATTATTAGTGATTGGTTTAAAGTTCTTGGCAGTACTATCAGTAATCAGGTATGTGTTTGATTTAGGTAAAATTTTTACTTGAGAGCTTGTTTCTTTTTGGCTTTCTAATTGCTTATTACATATTATCAGATTCCAGTTTATATGTGAAAAGATACTTCTGTGTGTATTTTGATAGGTGGTAAAGACAGTGGTCACTTTAGCAAATCTCGGGCTGGTGAATAATTTAACACTCTCATTATACAATGTGTGCTACCAGTGGATTTGAAATGATACTCACATTAGACATTGGTCCAAAAAGAAATAGTTCAGTCAGAGGTAACAGTGAAACTGCCTAGCATATAATATTTATTCAGTAACTGAATGAGTTGGAAATACTACTATTGGTGGAAGAACATTCTAGGCAAAGTTGTGAAGTGAATGAAGTTATAGTCTCTTCATTAGCGCCTCTTCCTTTCAGTGACTCCCCTGTAGCTTTTCTTGCCCCTTCCTGGCGTGTCTAGTTCCCTCATGTTCCGGTAACTTCTTATTTATATGACAACATTCAAAAAGAACCTCAAATTCAAATTCTGAAGCTCTGTTAGTAAGAGCAGTAGTAAGCAACTAGGGACTGTGCTTTTTTAGACTCTATATTCTTACCCCTCCTCATGTGGGGACATGGCTCCTGGGGATCATGACAGTGGCAGAGATGAAAGATTATATTTATGGGAGTGTGTTACGGTTTTATAGGAGCCCTGGTGGCACAATAGTTAAGCGCTCGGCTGCTAGTCAAAAGTTTGGCAGTTTGAGCCCACTAGCCACTCCGCAGGAGAAAGATGTGGTAGTCTGCTTCTGTAAAGATTTATAGCCTTGGAAACCCTGTGGGGCAGTTCTGTAGGGTCACTATGAGTTGGAAACAACTCGATGGCAATGGGTTTGATTTTGGTTATGGTTTAAAACTAAATGGAGACAGAAAAAGAAGTTGGGAATCACTGGCTTTAGTAGAGATTGAGATGTCTTTCTGAGATTTTATAGATAATGCCTCATCATTAATAAGCTTCGTGATCTTACCGGAATATGCCACCTCTTTGAGCCTCAGTTTTTCCACTTAAAACTAGAGAGATTGGACTTAATTTTATCCAAGTTTGTTTTTAAAGATTTTATGAGTTGCTCAGTTCAAAACACCCAGCTTTAGAATCTGAGTATTCTTTGACTCTTTCTCCTGTAACTTTTACCTCTTCTAGCAAATTAGTCACCAAGCTATATGTAGATTATTCCTGTACAGTATATAATATTGTATGATATTTCTGAATCCTGTCCCTTTCCATTTATTCCAAAAACCATGGACAGTATCTTTATATCAAGTAACTTTCTAAACATTTTTCCTTCTATAATCTCAACCCCACCATTCATTTCTAATGCCATTACTATGTGAAATCTCCTAATATCAATTTTATATTCTTGTCCTGCTCAGGAATCTTCTGTGACTCGCATTAAAATTAACCTGAGCCCAATCTACCTTTTCCAGTACTCTACCCAGTATGGACTTTCAGCTGTAGCCACAATAATCTATTCACTATCCCTTGAAATAAAGCATGCATCATTGCTTCATTTAACAAGTGTGCAAGTGCTTTATGCGCTGCGGATACAGCAGTATGCAGCCAGACGCTACACCTGTCTGTATGCGCTTACAAATAAAGACAGACGATAACTAAACACAGTTAACTGAACAGTTGATACGATGAATGTGATGAGTGTTATGATGGCAGAAGATGTACAACATGCTATAAAAACACTCAGTAATGTCGGGCTAACCTAGTGGAGGGGTCAGGGAATGCCTTGCAGAGACAGTGTTTTTTGTTTTTAAATTGAGGACTAAAGCCTCCAAATGATTAAGCCAAGTGAAGAGAAAGGGAAGTATTAACAGACTATGAAATTTCAAAATACATACTGTTTGCATAGTTTCAAACAGGGCTACAAACTGGTTCTGCCGGGTTCAGTCATGGCTGATGAAGCAAAACACAAATGGACCTGGATTTTTCAAATGTGGGTGGACCAGAACAATACCCAGAATAGGAAAAAATTACAGGTCATATCCTGGCTAGAAACTTAATCTTGCTCTGAGAAAACAAGGGCAGTGTGTGCGTTACATAGCAACCAAATCTCTTGACCAGTAGAGTCAGAAAGAGCGGTGCCCTGCTCAGAGATGGCAGCTGACCACACTGCTTTGAATGTGTGCCGCTCTCTGCAGTCCTGACAGTAATCCAGTCTCCTGTATCAGGCTCCTGAAAGGGCTCACTACGCCTCTTCCAAGTGTCCAGTTCCAGGGCTTTGACCTATAATTTTTTCCGTTGTAGTTATCAGTCCATTTCACCCAAATTTTAAAAATTTAGGCCTGTTCTGATTTCACTTCGTCAGCCATGACTGAACCAGTTCGAACTGCCTCAAAGCCCTGGTTTCAAAAGATAACAACTGCTGAGGAATAAATGTAGCAAGAGATGCACAAGACCTTTTCAGGGAAAATTACAAAACTTTACTGAAATACATTGAAGAAAACCTAATTAAGTGAGAAATAGATCATGTTCATGGATTAAAAGATTCAATAATGTAGATACCACTTTCCTCCAAGTGATTTATAAATTTATAGATTTGAAGTTTTTGAATCTCATTCAGAATCCCCGTAGACTTTGTAGAACTTGACGGCTTATTCTAGAATTCATATAGAAACGTAAAGAGCTAAGAATATCCAGGACACTCTTGAAGAAGAAAGTGGAAAGACTTGCTGTGTTATATGTCAAGACTTTATAAAGCTATACTAATTAAGACAGTGTGGTACCTGTGCAGGGATAGAGCATAGACCTATAGAACAGGATAAAGAACCTAGAAACAGACCCACAAACATATAGGCACTTTATGCCAGATCTGCTGAACAGTGAGGAGGAATAGGCTTTTCAGTAAATGGTGCTGGGGCAGTTGGATATCCAAGAAGAAACTGGAATCCTTCGTTACACTATACACAAATATAAGTTCCTAGTGGAGTAAATACTTCAGTGTGAAGGACAAAGAGTAAAGTTTTTAGTTTTGAGAACTCAATATGGTTTTTAACCTGTAAACGTGTGACCTTGCTTAGACTGTAGAGCAGTTCTAGAATTTCTTTCAGTTCTCAACATCTGTGAGTCTGTGAGTAATGCTTAACTGTTAGCACAAAATGTAATTTAAAAGGATTGTTGGTGTGCAAAATTAATGTACTGTTGAGTAGGTGAGGTAGTTAACTTTAACTTACGCTGTTGTCACAGAAAGGTGTCTTCATTACATTCTACCACCAGAGATTGTTGCCTGACCTTTTAACTGTTACTACTGTCACACATGTGCAGTTGATCAAAATGAGGCAAGATAGCCTCATTATCATTGCAAACCCATTACAGTGGGAATTACCGGCAATATTCATTGAAATTCAGAAATTGTGCACCATCTAAGCAGAATATATATATATTTTTTTATATTTTATTGTACTTCAGGTGAAGGCTTACAGAACAAATAGTTCCTCATGAAACAGTAGTACACATGTTGTTTTATGACATTGGTTAACAACCCCACAACATATTAACCCTCTAACTTC